ACATCTGGATACCTAAAGGGCTGATTCTGAGGTCAGAGTGTTACTTAAAGCAGTTGTTTTTCTATGAGTCTGCCGTGTGGACTGCTTCCCATGTTAGACATTCCCTCCTTTTTATTTCTCTCTATTATTATTACCAGACACTGGATGCTATTTATGTGATCTTTTTAACACTTAATCCTATCTATATGTTCACTTTACCACTTAACATGATCACTTTAACAATTAATTTGGTATTTTACCACCAATTTTAATTAATGGGATTTGGAATCCCATGACAAGTTTTCGAACTGTACCCTTAGAAGTAAGTTCTTAGGAATGTATGCAAAACTATACAGTTTTATAATTACAAGCTTCCTCCTCCCTCTCTCATTCCCTTTCTTATTTTTACTGAGATCTATTTTTAATTAACTTTATATACATATGATTAACTGTTAAGTAAAGAGTTCAACATAGAGTATTAAGAAGAGAAAAATAAATAAAAAATAAACTCTTTGACCATCAAGATGAGGAATGTTCAAGTCATTGCTTCTCAAAGTGTCAATTTCACTTCTAAAGCTTTTGTTTTAGGTGCACTATTCTCACAGATCAGTGAGAACATATAGAATTTGTCTCTTTGGGACTGGCTTATTTCACTAAGTATGAAATTTTCCATGTTGATCCATTTTGTTGCAAATGATCAGATTTAAATTCTTTTTACTGCTGTGTAGTATTCTATAGTGTACATTTCCAATAACATCTATCTAGTATTTGGTTGATGGGCATTTAGGTTGATTCCATGTCTTAAATATTGTGAACTGAGCTGCAATAAACATGGAAGTGCAAATAGCTCTTTTGTTTACTGATTTCATTTTCTTTGGGTAAATTCCCAGTAGTGGGGTATGATATGAGTGGGTAATATGATATGAATGGGTAATATGATATGAGTGGGTAATATGATAGGTCTATACTCACATTTTTGAGGTATCTCCATACTGTCTTCCATAATGATTTTGCCAGTTTACATTCCCACCAGCAGTGGATTAGTGTACCTTTTCCCCCACATCCTCTCCAGCACTTGTTGTTTGTTGATTTCTGTATGAGAGCCATTCTAACCAGGGTGAGGTGAAACCTAATTGTGGTTTTGATTTGTATTACCCTGATGGCTAGTGATCCTGAGCATTTTTTCACGTGTCTGTTGGCCATTTGGATTTCCCCTTTTGAAACAAGTCTGTTGAATTCCTTTGCCCATCTCTTAACTGGGTAGTTTGTTTTGTTGTTGTGGAGTTTCTTGATTTCTTTTAATATTCTGGTTATTAATCCTTTATCAGTTATGTAGTTTGCAAACAATTTCTCCTGTTCTGTCAGTTGCCTCTTCACTTTCCTGTTACTTTTGCCATTCAGAAACGTCTCAATTTGAAGGACTCTCATTTGTTAGTTTTGCACTTGACTGTCTGTGCCACTGGGGTCTTTTCCAATAACTCTGCCTGTGCAAATATCTTCTCAATTACTTTAATGGTGTAGGGTTGTAGATTTAGATCCTTAATCCATTTTGAGTGGATTTTTGTGTTACATGTAAGGTATGGGTCTTGCTTCATACTTCTGCATGTGGAAATCCAGTTTTCCCAGCACCATTGCTCCAGGGATTGGTTTTAGTTTCTTGGTCAAATGTAAGTTGCTTGTAGATGTTTGGACTGATTTCTGGTGTTTCTATTCTGTACCATTGGTCTATCCATCTGTTTTTGTACCAGTAACAGGCTGTTTTGATTATAACTGTCATGTAGTGTCTCTTGAAATCTGGTATTATTTTGTCCCCAGCTTTGTTTTTGGTGTATAAGATTGCTTTAGCTATTTGAGGATCATGGTGTCTTCTTGTTCTTGAGTTTATGCATTTATTTTTAGGCATTTGTGGAGTTACTTATTGGTCTTTTCATCTGATAGCTTTCATCTCTGAACTATGCCTCTGTGACTTACTGGAATGTCTGCACTTTCAGTGAATACCAAGAGGTTGTGTGGTTGGTGTTTCCAGGGAGCTCTGGTCAGTGCTCCAGGTTGGGTCTGGTACCCAGGGTGAAAGCCAAGGTGGATGTGGTAGATCTTATTGTGTTAATAGAAGGGAGGAAATGGTCACCTCTGTTGGTGTGATCACCCCCTCACCTCCTCTTCTCCCAAGCTGGGCAATGCCCAGTGTTAGCCTTCAGTGATTTCAACACTCATCTGTGCCACCAGATGAACCACACAAATGATCTGTGCTATCCTCCCCCTGAGCACAGTTCCCACTGCAGTGACCTTCCCCAAGTAACCAAAGATCTCTGAGTGTGTAGAGCCAAACCCAGTGAAATGTCCAGAGACCCAGCTATAACCTGTACCCACTCATGTGGCCACCAAGTCTCCATGGTTTCAGAACACAAGGCTCCCACAGTCACGGGTGAGGAGGTTTGACTCTTAAGTACCATCCTGTCCAGTCAACAGAAAGGCAGATGTTCTCTGAACCAGCTCTGCTAGCTGGCTTGAGACCCAGAGGCTGTGGTATGCTGGGAGATTCGGGGTATCTGACAGTTCTACATGGGTGTCCAGACACCTGTCAACCCTCCCAGCCAGGCACAAAGTCATTGAGGACTGCAGATTTTTCCCTCAACTAGAATCTCTGGATCACACACATGTACCAGAGCCACCAGCCAAATGTTGCCCCACCACTGCCACCAGTACTGCTGAGAAAATGACGCCCTTCTCAGCCAGTTGATGTGAGCATGCTTAAATGTTTCTACAGCTGCTGCTCAAGCCCAAAATAGTGCCCACCCTCTCTCAGCTGGACAGTGGAGGCCATAGTGGGGAGGACTGGGTGAGATAAACATGCCCCTTATAATTCCACTGGGTCTACAGGTAACCCCTGGGGCTCCAGTCTGGACTCACACCACGCTCTTCCTCTGGCTGTACCACCACAAATTGCTTCGGTCTGTTCTCACCTTCATTTGCAAGCTGCCACTCACTTTGGCTTTCGGCTGCTGCAGTCTTGTGTTGTGTCTGTGCTTGTACTGTGTGTCCGCCACTTCCACATAGGTCCACAGCTTTTCTCTTCCTTTTGTAGAATTTCCAATGTAGTTTTCTCTTTAATTCTCCCTTGAGAGTGTACTTCCTACACTTTTTAAAAATGGTTTATCCCTAGACTAGCACAGTATGTCATTCCCTATTCCACTGTCTTGCAATCTCCCATCTTGGAATCCCCCACATTTCTTTATTCATTCATCAGTTGATGGACATCTGGGTTGGTTCCATATCTTAGCTGTTGTGAACTAAGGTGCAATAAACATGGGGGTATAGATAACTTTTTCATATGTTGATTTCATTTCATTTGGTAAATTTCCAGGAGTGGGATTGCTGGGTCATGTGGTAGATCTACATTTGGATTTCTGAGGAATCTTCATACTGTCTTCCATAATGGCGGTACTAGTCTGAATTCCCACTAATAGTGGATTAGGGTACCTTTTCCCCCCACATCCTTGCCAGCATTTATTGTATTTTGACTTCTAATAAGAGACATTGTAACTGGGATAAGGTGGTTTAATTTGTATTTCCCTGATGGCTATTGATCTTGAGCATTACTTTTATGTGTCTGTTGGCCATTTGAATTTACTCTTTTGAAAAATGGCTGTTGAAGTCCTTTGTCCATTTCTTAACTGTATTGCCTATTCTGTTATTGAGTTTCCTGAGCTCTTCATAGATCCTGGATGTTAACCCTTCATCAGTTGCATAGTTTGCAAATATTTTTCCCATTCTTTCAGTTGCCTCTTCACTTTGCTGAGTGTTTCCTTTGTAGTACAGAATCTTCTTAGCTTCCTGTAAATCCATTTGTCTCTTCTGGTTTCAATTGCCAGAACTGACATTTTTCAAAGACATAAAAATGACTAACAGGTACATGAAAATATACTCAACATCATTAGTTATCAGAGAAATACAAATCAAAACCACAATGAGTTATTACTTCACCCCAGTAAGACTGGCCATTAAAAGAAACAAAAGATAACAAATGTTTGTGAAAATGTGTAGAAAAGGGAACCCTTGCTTATTGTTGGTGGCCATGAAATTAGTATAGCTGTTGTCAAAAAGAGGATTAAGATTCCTCAAAAAAGTAACAATAGAACTCCCTAATGATCCACCAATCCCACTCCTTGTTAAATATAAAAAGGAAATGAAATCTACCTGTTAAGAAGACATCTGCACATCTTCATTTAGTGCAGCACTATTCACAAAGCCAAAATGTGGAAACAACCTAAATGTCCATCTATTGATGAATAAAGAAAGAAAATGTGGTACAGGTACACAACGGAATAGTAGCCAACAATACAAGGATGAAATCTTGTCATTTGTGACAACATAGAGAAAACTGGAAGTCATTATGTCAAGCAAAACAAGTTGAGCTCAGAAAGGCAAATATCACAAAATCTCACTTAGATGCAGAGATTAAATATCTGATTTCGTGAGAATGGAAAATGTAATGGTGGTTACTGGGGACTGAGGAGGAAAATGGGAAAGGAGAGGGGAGTAAAGTTGACCGATGTGTACTATGTTATAGCTAGAGAGGAATAAAAAGTTCTGTGGTTGTATTGCCCCGTAGGTTGACTATAGATAAGACATTGTATGTTTCTCTATTAAAAAAAGAAGAGGGCCGGCGCCGCGGCTCACTAGGCTAATCCTCCGCCTAGCGGCTCCGGCACACCGGGTTCTAGTCCCTGTTGGGGCGCCGGATTCTGTCCTGGTTGCCCCTCTTCCAGGCCAGCTCTCTGCTGTGGCCCGGGAGTGCAGTGGAGGATGGCCCAGGTGCTTGGGCCCAGCACCCCATGGGAGACCAGGAAAAGCACCTGGCTCCTGGCTCCTGCCATCGGATCAGTGCGGTGCGCCGGCCGCAGCGCGCCGGCCGCGGCGGCCATTGGAGGGTGAACCAACGGCAAAGGAAGACCTTTCTCTCTGTCTCTCTCTCTCACTGTCCACTCTGCCTGTCAAAAAAAAAAATAAAATAAAAAAAATAAAAAAAAGAAGATAGAATTTAGATGTTTCACCTATGAATAAATGCTAAATTCTTTAAAGAATAAATATATTTACATTATAAAAGGATACATGTGCCAAAACATCACACAGTACCCCATATATATGTATGGCTTTTTAAAACATTTTATTTCAGAATAGTTTTAAATTTATAAAACAACAATTGTGAGGGGGTAATACAGAGAGTTCCCATATACCCTTCTCCTCATTTCTCCATTAACAACTCATATTAATATCTTTGTCACAATGAATCATGCCTAGCTTTGTCTATTTTTTTCTTTTTTTTTATTTTTTGACAGGCAGAGTAGACAGTGAGAGAGAGAGACAGAGAGAAAGGTCTTCCTTTTTGCCGTTGGTTCACCCTCCAATGGCCGCCGCGGCTGGCGCGCTGCGGCCAGCGCACCGCGCTGATCCGATGGCAGGAGCCAGGTAATTTTTATGCATGTATTAAAATGTAAACATTTTTAAAAACCTTGTGTCTGTGTTTGTCTGGAGATGATAGAATAATCCAGATTGATTTCTCAACTCATGATTTCACCCTGGACCAGCCCTGGCTGTTAAGGAATGAATCAGTGGGTAGGAAATCTCCCATTGCCTGTCTCTCTGCCTTTCAAGTAACTAGTAATTAATTATACTTTTAAAGGTGGGCATTTCATGTTTCCTTTTGCAGGGAGAAAACCTTTCCCAGAAGATTTATTGTAGACATTCCCTCAAGTCCTATTAAGTCTTAGCTTTGAAGATATTTGTAAAATAAATGACAATTTTAGCTCTGTCTACCAGCTAGGAAAGTCTGGCATAATGGCAATAGTGTCTACCATAGGAGGGCATGGGATTGAAGTATGTTGTACTGGCCAAGTGCCACAGTCAAGCACTGGTCTCTGAAGAATTCAAGGGTTCATGCCTTCTTCAAGTGAATAGTTTCACCAATATCAGGGTATCGTGCTGTCTTTCTTCCCGAGTGAGTCGATGTCTTCCATGTTGCTCTGTGAGAAAGTAGAGAGAGACACCACCAAGAAAAGAGGCTACTTTTCCCTGCGACGAGTTCTTCCCATGCCATGGTTCCACTGACCTTCCCAAGTAAATACACAAGCAAGAGCAATGTTTCTTCCCAGTAGCGTTTCCTTAGCAACATTTAGCCATAATATCCCACCACATAACTCAGTTCTGTCTTTCAGGAGGCTGTCTACATGCACTATTCTGTGGGTGATTTCCCTACACTTCCACTTGTCTAATTCATACGTAGCTATCCATCCAGGTGACCTCCTGGTCAGTTTACTAGCTGATTTAGGGTGGCAAGGGGAATCTTTCCACCTTTAAGGTTTAGGGTTTATGTGACTATTTGCCTCTTCCATTCTGACTGAGCTGGATGAACACATGAAGGCCCTGGCTTCTACTACAAAGATGAGGAAAGGCCCTTGGCAGAAGATCTGTGAACTTAGGGCATTTATTGAAGTTAAACATGCTTCAAATCTGGCTAGTAGTTTCACTGCCAGGTAAATGTATTTCTTGTTTCTTCATTAATTTTTTAAAAATGGGGAAGGTTTTGGGTTTGGCTTATAGAGCACTATAAAGTATCAAGCGGAAAATGCCTTCTTATGCTATTCTCAAGTAGGACTAAACTTGAAAGGAACCCACACAGGGACCACTGAGCAACATAATGGCTATTTGCCTGAAACATATTTCCCGGCCAATGCTTCTGCTGACCCACAACTTGGAGCAGTGGTGTTTTAAATCTAGTGCTTCTGGGGTTTTAACTCTCCTACTGGGCCGTTAATTTGACTGTTTATTAAAGCTCTGCTGGCTTGTTCACTTAATGCATTTCTCCAGCACAGCTGATGTTTCCAGAGAGAGAGAAACACTGTATGTGCTATGGGATTCCAGGCTCTTAATGGAAACTGGTGATATATAACATGGGTTGGAGGTCTTGAAGCCTTAAGCAGAAGATGGATAAGATTCTCTGCCTGTATACAGCTCAAAAATAGGTCAGCCATTCTGTGTCTGAGTTAACTGCCCAGATCTCTGCTGTATAGAAAGACATTGATCACATTGGTTCCATTTACTCACTTTGCAACTAGACTTCCATAGCAGTGGCCCCAGGGCTTTCAAATCCTTCATCACACTGGGAGCCATCCAAGGGCATCCATCCAAGAAGCAGCCAAGCAAAACAGCTCACAGAGACCCAGCATCCCTGAGAAGGTGACAGAGGTGTAGACAAATAGCACAATCAGACAACAGACCAAAAAGAGGGTGTGACAGGTTCCAGGTGAGTTGTCCCAGAGACTAAATGTGATTTTGTAGCCACTGTTTTCTTTGAAGATAGTCACTTTTCTGCCCCTCCCGTTGAGCCTCTCAGAAACCCAATCAAGCTTGCTCGCCACAGGTCAGATCATACTTGCCTTCTGCTTTGACCTGTCCTTTTCATCCTGTCTGTACTCATGGGAATGTCCACATCCTGAGGTGCAGCTGTTTGGACATCAGTTCTCTCCTGGAATGTGAAATTGGGCTACTTGAGCTAATGAGCACCATCATGCCCTAGATCAGTGCTGTCTCACAAAAATACAGTGAGAACCACATGAGTAATTTATAAATTCCTGCTAGCCATACTTGAAAGAAACACATGAAGCCAATTTTAGAAACATATTTCATTTAGCACAATGTATGAAGGTACTTCATAAAAGGGTTGAAAATGCAATTAAAAGATAAGTTCATTTTGAAGCAAAAACTTGAAATCTATGCAATTTTTTCAAAATATGTATTTTCTATGAACTTTTTAAAGATCTTCTTAAAAGTTATAATCCCAGCAATGGCACTGGCTACATTTCAAGTGCTCAAAAAAGTTGCCATTGCAGTTATGGAATCAGTCCATTTGATATATGACTTGCACTTCAGTTGTTAGTAATGATAGCTAATTTAGTAATTCTCAAGATAGCACTATCAGCCAGGTATTCCAGCCAGTGCCACAATAGGTAGGTCTGTAGGACTACATATTTTTTGTACTGGGTAAGTCCTTATGGGGCCCTTAACTTACCCTGGTTAAGTATGTATCCACTTTGTGTATTGTCTGTCTGATGTCTGTGTATGTCTCTAAAGAGCCTGACATATCACTCTTGGGTATCTGCAGGAAGAGACAGAATGTGGGAACATGTCAAATAATAAATTTACTCTTGTGAGCAAGGTTTAATATCAGTTCTACAAAGATGTAGGAAACTAAGGTTGACATACATGGTCTTATCATGGCATTTATTTCCTTCCTCTTTTGCTGTGTCTTTTAGAGGCCCTGCCTCTTTTGGTGCTCGTATATTTCTCTTCTCCCCTTATTGCTCCCTTGACATACGAGCCAAGCCTGAACTACCAGGTGTCTTATCACTGTCTGGAATATAATTTTTAGGTAAATGCAATAACTTAATAAACAATTAGGCATATTATAAAAATTACACAATCTTCCTGCATTTATATCATATATAAAAAACATCTTGGGGCTGGCACTGTGGCTCACTAGGTTAATCCTCTGCCTGCAGCACTGGCATCCCATGGGCACCAGGTTCTAGTCCAGGCTCCTCCTCTTCCAGTCCAGCTCTCTGCTGTGTCCTGGAAAGGCAGTGGAAGTGCTTGGGCCCCTGCACCTGTATGGGAGACCAGGAGGAAGCACCTGGCTCCTGGCTTAGGTTCGGCATAGTTCCGGCCATAGCAGCCATTTAACTGTAACAAGAATTTGACTTGTAGGCTATTGAAATATGTATCTATTAGCAATTCTTTCAACTGCAGACAACAGAATATCTGATAAATAATAACTTAAACACGTAGAAGTTTCCTTTTCTTAGAGGACAAGAGGACTGATGGTGGCTGGACTCTGGCATTAGTTCTGTTGTTTGACAATGCCATTAGGGAAATGAGCTCTTTACACTTCAGCATCCTGGTGTTTTGGTGTTCAACTAAATGCTTGTTACCTCATGGTTACAAATCGCTGATTTATTTATTTTTTATATGATTTATTAGAAAGAGTTCGAGGGCATAAGGGGTAGGAAGAGAGATCAATCAATTGATCAATCTTCCATTTGTTGGTTCACTCCCCAAATGGCTGCAATGGTTGGGGCTGGGCCAGGTGGAAGCCAGGAGCCAGGAGTTTCCTCTGGGTCTCCCATGTTGGTAGCAGGGGTCCAAGCAATTGGGTCATCTGCCACTGCCTTCACAGGAGCATTAGCAGGGAGCTGGATTGGAAGTGGAGCAGCTGGGTCTTGAACTGCAGCTATTGTAGGCACTGAATCCTTGCCCAAGGAAGGAAGATGTTCTTATCAGAAAAGCAAAAGCTTTTCAAGATCTGTCCCCTGGGTGTCCCTAGCTACAAAAGAGGCTAAGAAAATGTGTACTTTATTGTCCTCTGAAGTAGAGTTTTGTAAGAGAAGTGACCATCTGTTGAGTTAGTGAGCAAACTGACACCATAGTGTGTGTCACTAAAAGGTGTTACAGTGGCTAAAATATATTAAACGTTTGTAGGGTATAAGGTATACTGAGCATTTTATAGACCTCATTTCATTTGATCCTCACAGCAGCTCTTTGATATGACTCCTGCTGTTATTACTCCCTTTCACTTGGAAATCACCACCAAATACCTTTACCTATTACCATGTAGGTTCCCAAACACATAATTTATCATACTTTTTTAATATTTATTTTTTATGATTTATTTATTTGAGAGGTATAGTTATAGGCAGAGGGAGACACAGAGAGAAAATTCTTCCATCTGCTGGTTCACTGCCCAGTTGGCTGCAACAGCTAGAGCTGAGCCAATCTGAAGCCAGGAACCAGGAGCATGGTTTCCCATACAGATGCAGGGGCCCAAGCACTTGGGTCATCTTCCACTGCTTTCCCAGACCATAAGCAGAGAGCTGGATTGGAATAGCCATTGCTGAAGGTGGAGGCTTAGCCTACTACACCACAGTGCTGGCCCATAAAATAATATTTTACTCTTTGAACACGGAGAAAACAGGGTAACATCTTAGTTTCTGACTTGCCAAGTCAGGATGGCATAATCCCATAGACACTGTATAACTTCCATCTTGGATGGGTTTGGCAGGTGGCGCCTATCAGTCATCCAAGTAGCTGACGGTGGTGCAGGATAAATTTCATAGAGGTGACCTGATGATTTCAAATAGATAAGTATCACCTTCCCAGACTTCTCTCAAACAAGAAAATAAGTGGTTCTTCCAGGGATGCAGATAAATTGTACAGGGGGCATATAGTTTCTAGTGACTTCTTTTGTGCTCACCAATGTGTGCTACGGAGCCTCTAAGATGGCCCCTGGAGATGCCTGCCTCTTGAAGATTCATGCCTTTGTGGCATCAATTCACATCTCTTCAGTAGTGTGGATCTAGTACTTGTTTTTGGTTAATAGGATAACGGCAAAGGTGATGGGATGTCACATTCACAATCAGGTTGCAAGAAATTATAACATGGATCTTGTTATCAGGCTCTATTTGCCTTCTTGGCTCTCATGCCTTGGTGAAAGAAATAGCCAGATTGCAGAGTCACAGGTGGCAAGAAACTCAGGGGGCCACTGACCACCAACCAGCAGGGAACTGAGGCCTGAGTCCAACAGTCCTTGAGGAATTGAAGTCTGCCAATAATTGGAGTGAGTTTGGTAGTGGATCTTTCCCTAGCCAAGCTTCAGAGGAGGCCTCAATTCTGGCTGACAACCTAATTACAGTCTTGCGAGGGACCCCGAAGGAAAGGACCCAGTTAAGTTGCATTCCTGACTCACAGATATGGACATAATAAATGTATGGTGTTTAAACCATTAAATCTGCGGTAACATTAAATGGTAATAGATTTTTTTAAAAGTGAGTTCAACTGAGGGAGCAGTTGAACTTCTCACATGGCTATGAGCTAGGATATATGCTTACCTAATTCCAAAGAGCCAAGATTGAGCAGCCTGATTCAGAAATACAGAAAAGAGAGTGCTTGTATATGGAAAGAAACTACCCAGTTGGCCAATTAAATTCACAAATGAGAATGAAAGCATTTGGTTCACTGGAGAAATGAGAGAATCCAGCTTTATTTAGACTGAACTCTGAGCAGCAGCAGCAGCAGCAGCAGCTGGTAGACGGCCTCAGCCAAGACCTGCTGTGGGAGCAGTATATGAGCCTCAGGAGGCAGGTAAACATAAAACACAGCCATGCAGTGAAAGGCATCAACGTTGAGGAAGCCAAGGAACCATCAAAGTGCATATCAGGGGATGTTAAGGATTTTCCTCCACTGGTATCCATAAAAAAAGAGTGATCTTATTAAATAAAAAATTCTAATTGATGATTAAAACCACTCAGAATTCCTCTCCTATGAGCAACTTCCTTTCTGTTCTCTGATCTTCACCCAGTAACTATTGGTGCTTTCTACAGTTGTCTGCTTGGGCTTCCATAGCAAAATAGCACAGAGGTAGTGATGTAAACAACAGAAAAACAGCTTCTCACAGTTCTGAAGGATGCAAGTCCAAGATCGAGGGGCTGTGAGGGATGGATGCTGGGGAAGCCTCCCCTCCTGGCTTGCAGAAAGCTGCCTTCTCACTGCTCCTTCACGTGGCCTTTCCTCTGTGTGCACAAGAGAGAAGAAGGAGCTCTCTGGAGTCTCTTCCTCTTCTGATAAGTACATCAGCTCTACAGGATCAGGGCCCTACCCTTATGACCTCATTCAACATTTCCTCCCTAAAGACACTATCTTTAAATAGAGTCACATTAGAGGTTATGGATTCAGCATATACACTTTTTAAAAGATTTATGTATTTATTTGACAGAGTTACACAGAGAGAAAAGGAGAGGCAGAGAGAGAGAGAGAGAGAGAGAGAGAGAGATCTTCCATCTGCTGGTTCACTCCCCAGTTGGCTGGAGCTGAGCCAATCCAGAGACAAGAGCTTCTTCAGGTCTCCCACGTGGGTGCAGGGGCCCAAGGACTTGGGCCATCTTCTACTGCTTTCCCAGGCCATAGCAGAGAGCTGGATCAGAAGAGGAGCAGCTGGGACCCGAACTGGCACTCATATAGGATTCTGGCACTGCAGGTGGCAGCTTTACCCGCTACGCCACAGCGCCAGCTCCCAACATACACATTTTGTAACACAATTCAGTCTATCACTTTTCCAGTCTCTACATGGCTCCAAAAATAAAAACAAAAACAAAAAAAACTCATGGGGTAGATATGTAG